CAAATGATTCCGATTTGGTTTTCGGTTTTTGCTTTTTCAAACCCACCCCTCGAATTAACCATGCCGATTCCCAAAAGCACATCAAAGCGCTTAGGAATGTGACAAAGACAGCAAAAGGGCGCACACATAAAATTGGAACCCGCCAGAGTTCCACGTGGTTAATCCTTGGAGGGGAGAACCAGCGTTGGAACCTATGCTATGGTCCCCGTGGCTTGTGGGGACCACAACAAGTCTTCTTAACCACGACGGTGCACCACAAACTAGAGGCGCATTCACAGTGGACATTGTGGTGTGCTATATACATAAGGGTTCCATCACAACCCGTGCCAAGAGGACTTTCTGATCATGCCAACTTTGGTCTAATGTCCGTCACACGGTTTAATAACCCAAACTTCTACTAAAGTTTCTTGTTACGCAACCATAATCATACCTCAAACATGTCAAAGCCCTTCATTCAAATAGACCTAAGTGCTCCGTATACGATGGAAAACCCCAAATGTGTGTAAACTCAATATAGCAATCTATTGTCTAAAACACGATTCCAGAATGCAGAACACTGATTCCAATTGAACAATTAAATCATTCAGCTTTGTCAAAATATGGATGAGTAATATGTATAAGAAGCCAAGTAAGAGTACAGTCTTCTTCCCTGTCCTACAAGAACATGTCACATTAATTTCAAGTGACACAAGTATGACTATCACTCAAGCAAAAGTGTTGTTGATTGTTGAAGAAAGCATTATATATGAAAGATTTACGAGAAGCAACACATATTAGTACTTGAATCTATGGAGATAGACAAAAGAGATTAATATGTGTATCCCAAAGAGTCTTACATCAAAAGGGTATTTAAAAGATCACATACAAGTACATGCAATCAATTCTGTTTTTTTTTTTAAGATTCATAAAATGCCTAACATGGGGTTCAGGTTGGATTAACTTTTCCATGCAAAAACAACATTCATAATTGGGAAGATTTTTAGGAAGGCATTATCTCACATCAGCATGATGAGGAACAATAAGACCATCAATTTCTACCCAACTATGGGTCTGAAAATCCAATTATTTGTACCAAGTATATATGAACTAAAGATTTTGTTTAGGTAAAGACCTACTTTGATCCCTTACCTGCTGAATTCATCAGCTGCCTAGCTCTTCGGGCACAGTCTTCAAACTTTTGAACTACACTGGCGCATTTAAGAGGATTCTTCTCATTTCCCTTGTAGCATTTTGTGCAAGCATTTATTTCCTCCAAGCACTGGATTGGTTTGTGTTCGGGAAGTTTGAACTCCTTCTCATGGAGATCCTTTGCTCTCAGTGTTACTTCCTCTAACATGTTCCCCTCCTTCTTCTGCAACCTCTCCAAAACCTTTTCACTCTCTTGAAGTGCAGACCTGATAGCGTCTAGCTCTGCAACTGCAGCTTTCTGTGGGGGGAGTGGCGCAAACAATGGTGACGCAGGAAGTGGCCATCCTTCAGCGACGGGTTTCTGTTGTGTGTTTGCCTGGGAAGTGTGAGTCTCTTTTGGTATCTTTGGTTTTGGCTTCTTTGATATTCTCTTCAATTTATTATCTTCATCAGCGAGTTTTTTAATTAAATCCTTGCTGATCTGAATGGTAAACGGTTCGCCCATGATGACAGCTACTCCTGACAAAAACACCTGAAATGTCCATTTACCACCATGAGATAAAACAGACACCATGGCAAGACAAAAATGAAAGTTGATAGTAATTACAATTTACAACCATGTCAAGAAAAGAAAATTGAGGAATATTTTATTGCAACAAATGGTTTGAGTTAACAATAAAAAAAACAAGTTTGACCTTTGACTAATGTGTTAAAGTGAACATTATTTAAGGATGGAGTATCGTTTTTATTTGCTCATATCATTTTTATATGATACACACTTTTCCTCTCATTTTTTTCTCTCATATCCAACAATATATGCAGTCCACTCTCGGTTTAACAATTTTCTTTCCTCACTCCTTCTTTTCTCTTTGTAAATTACTCCATATTTTGCTTTCAAAACAAACAAAGAAATAAAAAATCACAGCACAAAAGTTGGTAGAAAATCATAACAACATTGGTCAATTAGAAGCAACATATCACAGGATTTATTGGCACCTATTCCTATAAAATGATGGGAAATTGGGAATAGAAAGAAGCCTTCAAGTTCTTAAAAAAATATACCAGACTAAACGAGAATCTCCAAATAGAGTTTATTCCAAATGCAATAAAATTATGGATTAGTTTCAGTAAATCATAGAACTGTGTAGTAGTAAAAGATTTACTCCCAAGCATTTCAGCATAGAACAAAGAAACAGCTGCAAAAATGGAAAAAAACTCTAACTTACTAGTGAGACTTCAAAGTTCAAGCCCTTCCATGGGATCTAAAAAATGTAATTCCCTCCTAAATTCTGTTCAGATACAAGCAAAGAAACAATTGATGAATCATATATTATCAGCAAAAACAAAACAAATCTCTGAACAAACTAACTCACACACAGAAATCGAGTATAATGCATCTCGCGGTATCGAATTAGTTACCGTTCAAAGCCAATTGCATTCGTAGATCTGAAAAAAAACATGACGAAATATTCTCAGATATAAATCACTTACTTCATATAAAACTGATGAGATTGGGGGCCGAAACCGGCGGCGGAGGGTCGACGGAACTGGAAGCGACGCTTGGCCCCGGGCGGCGGGCGACGGAGAAGAGCAGCAGCAAAGAGAAGCAAAATGCGATGCAAGGGGGAACGACTTGAAGAGGAAGAATACATGTGAGAGGGATGGGATTGTCATTTCACGTTCAAAATGGGCCGAAAAACGAGCATTTGGCCCATGATAACTGGATTGTATAATGTGGGCCTCTACTACCCCTATATTAATGCCTCATCTCTTTCATTTTTCAAATGGAGCATGCTACATATACTGCAAAATTTGTACTCCATTTGTACACCAAAGATATGCACCAATATTTTGATAATTCACACTGACACAAAGTGTTGGTGCATTAACAAAAATTTACACTGACACAAAGTATTGGTGCGTTAACAAAAATTAGCATTACACCAACACAAAATGTTGGTGCATCTCTGCGGCATACAAAATGGGGTACTAATGTCATTATCCTTTTCAAATATCTACATCTCAATTCAAACAAATTTGATTTATTCATTTACCTTAGTTTGATTCATTTTCATATATTAACCCATTCATTGTGATTTATTATACTTAACTCCAAAAAAACTCTCATATTTATTATTAACAAATTCATATTTTATTCACTTTCTTTGCAAGTCACTATTTATTGTGACTGTGGCGGGACAAGTTTCCCTCTCACTCAAGGTTCGATTAGCGGATATTTTATTCTTTGGGGAGTCTCTCACTCAAAGCTGATCACGTGAAGGATCTTACTACTCGAGGATTAGAGAAGAAATTTTGGAGAGAGTGAGTTGGAGAAAGAAAGCTTTGGTCCTAACTCAAGAATCCCATAAAATAGGAGTCGATCCCCTCCCCACAAGCCGAAGTGGGTTACTTACAGACGTACAAGAAGTAACTTAGTAATACAAACTTCTATCAGATAGTAAAGATTTTTGAGTACTTTCCAACTCCAAAAATGAGTGATCAGAATTCCCACCAAGATAATGGGTGAGGGGAAGCACTAAGGTCAGAAGACAAGTAATTCCCACCATCCTCCCACGATCATAAAGTAATTCACTTCTCTCTTTTTATTTACATCCAAGAAATATATGATAAAGAGTCTAATAGGTATAGATGAAATATGCTTTTAAGGTACACCTAATATTTTTACTCCATAGAAATTGGAACATTTTTCATTACATGAATTGATACCATGATTAATTAAACTCTGTGTAAAATGCTCCTCTATCTAGGGAGAAGAGATTGCACTCTTTATACAAAAAAAGAATTTGTATAGTTTCATCATTCAATAACTCTTATGATCATTTTTTAAATGTGTATGCAGACCTTACATCAATTAAAACATAGAGAGGTTTTCACTAGACCCCAATAGCAAAGAAAGCACATATAAAGAAGCAAAAGCAAACTAAGGACAAAGAAGAGCACAAAGAGACAAATACACACAAACTGCCTCAAGCAACTAGACACTAGACACGCAAGCACACGGACAGACAATAGCAAACACACCCGCATGCGTAGCTCAACTGGTCCAAGGAGAGGATTTAAAACCCGTTGATCCTAGGATTGAATTCCGGCAGCGACAGTGTGAGAGTTGTGCGCATTGGGCGACCTATCTAAGGATCAGATTGAGATTATATCATGATTTATCCCCTCACAATCCTGTCAGGTCGAGGCGTGAGAGTGCCCGGAGTGAACGTTAAAGGACAAAAGCAAACACCACCACCAAGGCCTAGACAACTATCCAACTTACCATAATCATAACTTTCCGAATACTCCTATCTAAGTTCATATCTTCGATAAAGGCTAGATACATTGTATGCCTCTCGTACCATATATTGTACATTCATGCGGATTAAAGTGCATCTATTTCAATCCCAGTGCATCTATTGTCCAAAATCGTGCCCAAAGTAGGAGTTCAACTAGTCTTCGGTTGAAAAATTTTGTATGTTCTCAGGGAGAGTTCATATATGGCAAAAAAAATCTTTTCATCCCTTGTTTAACTTCACTTCAAGCTATACAATATTTGACCAAAATTCATCACAAATCATTTAAAACAAATATTAGTGTATAACTAATTACAAACCAATACTTCCCACTTACACACTTCTTTAATGTATCAAAAGTTGCCTCTGCTCCTAAATATTATCATAGCTTGATTTGTTTGTTTTAACACATCAAGCAATATGTTTATTGGAGGTTAGAAATTGCAAAAGCAAATAAAAATAGTTGTGCTTCAGTAAAGACTAAAATGAAAATAAATATTAAACTAAAGTTTGGTGGGGTGTGCCGGGCCAAGGCAGTAGTGCAAGACCAAGGCGACGCTTGAAGGCCCAAGACAGCAAACGCTTGAAGGCCCAAGACAGCAAGCTGCCTTTGATGGGCCTTCCCCCTTAAAAAATAGAGTTAATATCGTATGGGCCAATGGCCCATATATCAGATATTAAACTGATAAGAACAGATACTACACTTGATCTTAGCCAAAAGGCCGAGAAAGGTATGCCTTAATTTAGAATCAGCTCTCTCCTTTTATTATCTCTCAGCGGATATCACTCTTCTTATGAAACCGGTGTGGGACGGTAGCATTCTTTAAACTGCTGCACCTCGCCGCTACTTCTCGGCTTTTGGCAACGGTAGTAAAGCATTACCCTTATATATTCCATTGGCCTTTATTACTAATATAATTAATGTACTCTATAAGTATGATAATTATTACAATTTTTTAACTGTTAAATATATGATTTTATTAAAAATAGCATTTTATTTTTTGTAATTCAATAGCTCTTTCAAAAGAAATTCTACTATTATCCAAATAAGTTTTCGCAAGTGTTGATAATTTTCATTTTTCGTGCATATAAAATTCATTTTTTGTGACTATTCAAAATAGGCAATTTTGGTGCATTAAAAGTAGTCCTATTTTTCAAACTTTTCCTTAAAAATCTAGAACTAAAAGGTATTCATCAAAGCTGATTGGTACTGTATAACTTATACCCGGCCTGAATACCCAAAAAAGTGACTGGTAAGATTGTGACCGGTCAAGACTTAATCGTGCTTGGAAAGACACGGAAACCTTCGAATAAAGTGTTCGGTCATGTCTTCCCGAGAAGTGACTGGTCATATTTTTAGCATGGTCATATTGCCATGAGCCCGACTTGCAAAGGAGAGATAATCCAGAAGACACTCTTCGGATGAGCTTTGCTGGACCCTCCTCACTCAATCATCCTGGTTGGATGGCTTGATTGATGACTAGATTGACACTCATGAATGACAAAATTAATGAGTGATGGGTCGAGGAGTTGTTTCCATGTATGGGTGTTGATTAGCGCAAGGCCCACGCGTGAGTAGTACCTAGTTGCCTTATTTAACCTACTCCACTATATATAAATAGGTTGTGAAAGAGGGAGGATGTGGAGTCATTCATTCTCTTACAAACTTGTACACTTTTGAGATAGGGTAAGAAATATAAATTCAAGCACAGGAATTCTTTTGTTGTCTAGATCATTCTCACTGTATTCGTACTTTCCTTTGTGTTTACTTCACCTTGTTAAAGTCTGATTCGACCGAGTCTCTGGTCAAACGTAACTAGTCAAATTTATACCATCAAAAGCTATAAATTAGATTAATGAAAGTGTTAAATAATAAGAGTCGTAGTCATTCATAGAGGATATTAAATGAGCTCATTCTCCCCACGCATATGAAAGGTATAAGAACTTGTTCTTTAGGGCATAAACTCTTAACTTCCAGTTTAATTTTTTTAGTTTCTTCTAGTTTATTTCAGTTTCTTCTAGTTTCTTCTAATTTCTTCCAACTATTCTCATTTTCTTCAAACTCTTTCTACTTCCCAAATCAATTACTCTAGAAACGATATATTTTTAATGTGATTATTATTATTATTATTTATATTATTATTATTATATTATTATTATTATTATTATTATTATTATTATTACTACTACTACTATTATAATGTTCATAACTATAGTTTATAAATTATTTTTTTCATATCACTATTTTTATAATTCATACTCATTATTATTTTTTCTTCAACCTTTTAATATGAATATGATAATTTTTTGTATATTAATCTACATGATAAAATAAAAAATATCAATATTTTAAACTATATTAAAAAACTATGGATAAATAGTTACATAGAATGTTTTGTTAATTTAACTTTATATAAGACCCCTCACTTTTCCCTTTATTACTCAATTTTTCTCATTTTATTTATTTCAAAATTTAATTTTGTTTTTTATTTTTATAATTTTATAAAAAAATTTGAAAGTTAAAATAGTTTAGAGAAGAAGACTAAAATATGAGTAAAACATAAAAAAATGTACAAAAATAAAAGTTTTATGTATTTATTCCAAAAATAGGAGTTACAATGAAAATAAAATGAAAATCATGAAAGAAAAAATTATTTTGATTACATTATGTGACATGTCTGATATTTAAAACAAAATCTTGTAATATATAAAGTATAATTACAAATACATTATTTTATAATAAATATTACATAAAAAATTTGAGGTGCAACGTAACCACATTAACTTTTTAAAATTTATCATTTTAATATTTATGCTAACTTTATATTATAATTGTTATTTTTTGTAAAAGTAGTTTTTTTGTGTGTATGAAAAATAACAATATTTTTTTATCTTAAAGACATTCATTAAGATAACGTGATGATGATGATGATGATAAGAATAATAATAATATATAACAGCAAGAATTAGAATGAGAATAATATAAAAATACACTAAAATAAATTTTTTAAATTTTTTTTAGGTTTTCCACTTTTTTGAAATTTTTCCAGTTTCTTTCAATTTCTTCCAACATCCGGCTTTTTTTTCCAGTCCTGAAGAACAGGTTCTAAGTAAATCTACAAGTTGTTGATGAAATACCCTACATATGTACGTACATGTGTGTGTAATATTTATGTGATCCATCTATAGATGATGCAATAGAACAACGTTAATATACATTTACTTATTTATTCATTTTTACTTTCACTTTTTAATACAACCTCCAAAACTCATAGAAATATTTTATATAAAAACTTTTTTGGGTCACAATGTTTGAGCTTTTGGTCGAGTTGGTTCTCTGATATGATATCGGAGCCTTGTTGGTCAAGATGTCACATGTTTTGATAATAATAATCATTATAGTAATAATCATACTAATAATAATAATAATAATAATAATAATAATAATAATAATAATAATAATAATAATAATAATAATAATGTGTAAGGGTTTTACATCCACTCACTTTGAATGACTCCAGATGACACGAGATTTAATTCAGTTCCCTACGGTGCTCCATTCCGATGATGATGGTTCCAACTCCCACATCCAGGTAAACCCTTTCACCCCGAGCTAATGACTATGGAGTTGTTCCGATCAAAAATAGTAGTAATAAAATTATTCAAAAATAATTTTAAATCACTATTGAAAAGATATAGAAAAAAATAGATGAAACTTGGAAGTGGAAAGAAATTTAGAGAAGTTGGAAGAATTAAATTGTAATAACTTAGAAAAGTTGAAAGAAACTATTAGTTCACAGAGGAAAACTCTTTTCGTCCCTGTTTAACCTCACTTCACGATTCGCAATATTTGATTAGAATTAATCACAAATCATTTAATGCAAGCTTTAGTGTATAAGTAGCTATGAACCAAATCTAATAAACATGATTTATTAATTTATCAAAAGTTAGATGAACAAAAAAAGTTGGTTTTCACAAACTATCGACAAACACGCCGAGAAATAATATAAAACAAATTTTGCCTGCAATAAAGAGACAAGAATGGAAATTGGGCTGTCGAAGAAATATTTAATTGAAATTTGGTGGGGTGCGCCGGGCGAAGGCAGTAGTGCAAGACCATGGCGACGCTTGAAAGCCCAAGACAGCAAGCTGCCTTTGATGAGCCTTCCCCCTTAAAAAATTGAGTTAATATCGTGTGGGCCAATGGCCCACATATCAGATATTAAACTGATAAGAACAGATACTACACTTGATCTTAGCCAAAAGGCCGAGAAAGGTATGCCTTAGTTAATGAACAGCTTTCTCCTTTTATTAGCTTTCTGCGGATATCACTCTTGTTACAAAACCGGTGTGGGACGGAAGCATTTTTAAAACTGCTGCACCTCGCCTTACTTCTCGGCGTTTGGCAACGCTAGTAAAGCATTACACTAATATATCCCCTTGGCCTTTATTTCTAATAATTAATGTACCTGTTTGGGAAGAGCATCAGAGTTTAAAGTTAGATATTAGAGTTAGAGATTAAAGTTAGAGTTTAGCTGTTTGCATCAGAGTTAGTGATTAGTTGTTTGATTTTTATCGTTTGGCGGTTACATATTTAAAAAAGCTTATGCATGGTAAATTACTAAACTACCCAATTGAACATGTACTCTTGTATTTTAAAAGTTAGCTTATTTTGTATTGTTCTCGTGATTATTTTTACATTTGTTATTATAATTTTTTATTTTTAGGTTAGCAAATTGTTAAAATATTTTTTTTAGAGGGAATCATTAAGAAAAAATGATTTATTATACTTTTAGAATAGAACAACAGAGTAATATTTTAGTAGACCGTAAGAACTAAACATTATATTTTTATAAAAAAATAAACTTAATAAGCTCTTATAAATGATTGCATATCAAATTTGATAAAAAAAATCAAACATTGACTCTGTATCTCACCAAACTATCTGCTATTTTATCTCTAAGCGAACTCATTGCGGATTCATTACTTCCTCTTCGATTACTACTACAACTTTCTTCATCATCTGAATCTTCCTCGAACTCATCATCTTCATCTTCAAACTCTGAAAAATCATAATCTTTGCTACCAGCATGCCGACGAATGTAGTTATGCAAAGTCATGCAAGCAATCACTACCAATAGTCTAATATACTCTGCAATTTCTCACGCCTCTCCCAGTCTCTCTTGGTGCCAATGATTATACCATTTTTCAAACTTTTCTCCTTCCTCTCCCTTTCCTCTAACACTTTAACTCCCTCTTTCATTACCCATTTACATTATAAACAGCAAATTTAAAAAAAAAAAACAGATTCTATTATACTAAAAAAACAGATTCTAAATCTTAAACAGCAACCCCGAATACATCACTCCGCCAAGAAACACAACAGAGTCCAAAACTAAAATTGAATCTTTCAAGGCCAAGAAACATAACAGAGTCCCAATAAACATACAAATTTTAAAAAAACAGATTCCATTATATTACTATACCACTCAAATCATCTAAAATATTTTTTAAAATAATGAATTACAAACATGAGTAAAGAATTCTATGTGCTACAAAAATCATATTAGTAAAAAAAACTGAAATACTTACTTGCAAAGAATCTGAGGCTTCCATTGAGCTGCTCAAGAACCCTATTTTTGTAATCCCCAAATCGTGACTTTATTCGGGAAGCATATGAGATTAGGCGGTAAGATTTCCCTCTAAAATTTTCATGGGTAAAAGAGTAAAATTGATCTCAATAGCTAAATTAGGGATAAGAACGCTGGAGGGTGAGAGCTTTCTGCGTTTAGCCGCGCGGAAGAGTCGGGAGGAGGAGAGAGACGAAGAACGCTGGAGTAAAATTAGGTCAAACAAACGCAAAAAATTCTAAACGCAGCGTTTGGGCTTTAAAACGCCAATACCAAACAGGCCCGTACTCTATAAATATGATAATTATTACAATTTTTTTAATGGTTAAATATATGATTTATTAAGAATAACATTTTTATTTCATTAATGCAATAGTTCTTTCAAAAAAGAAAACTTTCCACTATATCTAAAAAAATCTTTTTATTATTTATATAAATATTAATATGAAATGCATGATACGTATACAAAACTCTAGAGTTGAAATCAAGGTTGAAACAATTTAGTCCCATTTTAACCGTTTGTGCAGAACTTCTTATTTCCCTAAAAGATCTAAAGAGTTTGTATTTGATTGAGATTGAAAAAATTACTTTATTCAAATGGAGGATGCTTAAAGAAGTTCAGTTGTATGTCATTTTCAGATGACAATCCACTTAATGGATTTCACAATAATTCTTGGTAGAAGAGTTGAACTATGATAAAAAAAGTTATCGTCTGATCTTAGATGATATTTACCTAAAATAAATGAAGACCATAGAAAGATATACAAAAAGATAATGGAAGTTGTGACAGCTGAAAGATGAGATTTCTTTTTTGTGTATGATTACGGGAAGCTAGAAAAACTTTCCTCGAGAAATCATTATCTGCTTTTATAAGATCAAAGATCACAAAATTGACAACATCATGCTATGGTATATGATAAATTTTTTTTCTATACTTCCTCCACCATCCCTGTCGGGCCAGGGGTGGGGGCGCCAGGGGTGAGCGATTCCACCTTTGGACCGATGATAATTTTTTTTCTAAAATAAAAGTACATGATACTATTTTTTCAGAAGCGGTACAAAGTTGTACACTTAATACATAAAAAAATGCTATAGAACACAAGTTGTCATTACTATTTTTCATAGCAATTGACTATACTTGTCAAGGAATCAATTTAACCAAAAGCTCAAATTTGTGATTGTGACCCAAGAAAGAATTTCTATATATTCTAACACGCTCCCAAATATTTAAGAAAAATTATTAAGATTTTTAATGACTAAAAAACTTGCTTGTGAGAAATGAACATAGTAACATCACAAAGTTTTATAAAAGTGTTGAAAAATAAAAAAGATGTGGTTAGAATGGAGGGATAAAAGTTTGCTTAACTACATATTTTTTCTTTCAAAAGGTTTTTTCTAACAGATAAAAAAGTGAAGTAGAAAGATTTTTTACGAAATATGTGGGAAATTTTTCAATAAAAAATGAATAAATTAAACTAGCAAGAGTCCCACAATATCATTAATGTTCGTCCAAAGCAAGATTTACCCCGACCCTTATATTTTCTCCTCTACTTTACTTTTAATTCTAAGTACATAAAAAATCAAAAAAAAAAACTTCCCAACAAGAAAAATTAGTATTTGAGACTTGGTGGGGTGTGCCAAGCCAAGGTAGTAGTGCAAGACCAAGGCGACGCTTGAAAGCCAAAGACAGCAAGCTGCCTTTGATGGGCTTTCCCCCTTAAAAAATAGAGTTAATATCATGTGGGCTAATAGGCCACATATCAGATATTAAACTGATAAGAACAGATACTACACTTGATCTTAGCCAAAAGGCCGAGAAAGGTATACCTTAATAACTAATCAGCTCTTGCCTTTTATTAACTCTCTGAGGATAATACTCGTTTTACGGAATCGGTGTGAGACAAAAGAAAGTTGCAATCTTTTTTCATTACCAACTGCTGCAGCTTGCATCTCTTGTTCTTCGTCTTCTTTTATCTACCCTAAAATATATTTTATATACCCTAAAATATATTTTATCTTCCCTAAAATAATAAGAGCTTATTGGCATGGGGATATGGAATTAAATTATCTTTCGAAATCAAACAAAAATAGTTTCCCCCAACCAAACCTACCCTATGTGTCTCAAATAAATTTTATCTTTTTTCGTTATTCTGTATTTTTTAAATATGTAGTATACAATGTTTTTTTGTTAAAGTATAAAATGTTTTTTTAAAAAATAAGAAGTATATATTCACGTGTATCCACTTTTTGATTTCTTTTTAATCTGTTGGAAATCAATCATGATACGTGTAAGAATTTATTTTTAATATGTTGGAAATAGTTTGTACATAAATAAATGATACTTCGATACATAATACGGAGTATAAAAAGTTGATACATCAAAAACTGGATCTTAAAATAAACTAATTATACTCCGTATAAAATTTACTCGGTATATTATACTTCCTCCGTCCCTAAATATTTGCCACATTTGTATTCCCGAGGAAAAATATCAAGTTTTTTCAATTCATTTTATTTACATATTGGTATAAAAATAAAAAATAAAATTTACATATCAAAAAACTACATGAAAAGTTCTTCGAAATAAGAGGTGTCAAGAATATTTTATTTTATCAAATAACCAATGAAAATGTAGAAATAAACAAAAGTTCCCGCGACTGCTGAAAAAGCTAATGTTGCAAATATTTTGGGACGGAGGGAGTAGTACTCGGCAACAAAAAAAATTTGATGAAACCTTTGCATTGTCAGGTCCAACACCGTACAGCAGAAGCTCCTTTATCACACACTGCACTGCCTTTCCTCTTTTCTCTCTCCGAATCGTGTTTATGTCTTGTTAGATTATCCTAAGAAAATCGTCTTCTCCAATCGTTTCCCCTCTTTGTATTGATTATCGCAGGTTCTTTTTTTTTTTTTTTGAGTGGCTCGCCACCTGATCGATGAAATGCCCCAGAGGCGTTGAATCACAATTACAATGGGGCTGTGAATTGTTTAGGGTAAGTAAGTAGATTTAAGCTACTTCTGTTGAAAAGATATTGGGCTGACGTTAAGGTCTTCCATGGCTTTGAGAGGCGTGAGAAATAGGCACTGGGGATTGCTGGTTTTATCAGTCAAGCACAAAGGTTTTGTGAGATTGAATTCGGGTTCGAGCCACTGCTCTGAGGAATCTAAGGAAGAATCTCTTACTTCTTCTGAATGGTATGACCAAGCCTTCTCCAAGCTATCAAGTTTGTCCAGCTTACTGAAGAATGTGGATTTGGTTAATGGAAGGCTTGTCAATGTCACCCATAACTCGAGAGTTCAAGATGACATTTTGCTCCAAACCATGATCCATTTCAAGTCCCTAGCTAGAGACTTCATTGGAGGTCCTTTGGTTCAAGAATCCATGAGGAAGAATATGGATTTCGGGAGCAGCAATCCAGGAGGTAACCGTCTTCCTTGTTTTAACAAAGCCAGCGAGAGGGAACCAATGACTGTGAATTCCCTTACAAAGGTTTCCAGTTTCTTGAATGTTACTGCTCAACAGAGGAAGGTAGTCAGGGCAACGGTCTGCCCACAGGTAACCGAACATCAGGTTTGGACGGGCGCGCTTGAATTGATACTGGGTGAACTGAAATCCGAGATAGAGCATTTGGAATCTAGGTTCCCAAGTAAAGAAGTGAAAATGGGAAAGCAAATAGTCGCGGGCTATCTCAAGGTTTTGGACATTGCAGTTTCTTACAACCCGGATTCCAGTTCGTGGATGAGAGTTGCACCAGCAAAAGGTGAAGTTTCACCACCACCCACTCCTCACAAATGGGAGGACATTCTTGAAATGGTCATCGATCTTGTGCTTGAGAGAAGTGACGGAGTTGTCTTTAGAGATCAAGAAGGCAGAGGTCATGAAAGAAGGTCTGTATCAGATAAGGGAAATCCGGATAGACAAAAACATTGGGTACAGGGAGAATTGCCATCAAGAAAGCCTGGTGAAGAAGATATTAGCCAAGAGATTGGGCCACTCGTCTTCGTGTCTATTTACGCTTCTCGCGTACTATCTCTACGGCAGCATCAGAGACATTGAAGTGGAAGTTCGCGGCGGGGTTTGTGCCATTGGTCGCGGGGATAGGTTCCGCTTGTGCATGGGAAAGATATTGACATCAGATGAAGAGGAGATGGTATGGAGAAGGGTGAAGCAGCTGGATAGGGCCATGGGGTTGTTTAGGTTCATTTGGGAAACAGGAGGAATGAAAGGAGATCTTGTACTCCAAGGCCATCTATGGTGCATTGGCACCCATAGTAGATCTCTCACATATCGAGGGAATACATTCTTCTTGCACGCGATCGATCGTTATCTCTAACATTTTCTTCTACGAAGAACATTCCAAACGCTTTGAGATGGGGATCTTTTAGAAATAGTATCTCCATTTCTAAGTAGGGTAAGGTCTGCATAGACTCACCCTCCTCCCCAGACCTTACTTTGTGTGAGATTTTGCCGGGTTTGTTGACAAAACGTTCAAATGGATCATTGTTCCAAGTTTTTTTCCCTTTGTGCATGAAAGAGTTGTGAAATGAAGAATCTAATTGAATCTTGTTTGAACTCTTTTTGTTTATTTTTCTTTGCTGAAACTCAACCGGTGCATCGTGACAACACAAGCAAGACCCATTGAGCCCCAAGAAATGCCTACCTTAAACTCTACATGAGGCTTTAACTGTTAAACAAATGTAGTATATACTATGATCTGTCTGGAACTAAAAGAAAATATTTAAAAATTTGATCTTTTCTATAGTTATTTAGATTCTAATTTTGGCACTCAAGAGGATACTATCATATGGGATCACATTTAAATTTGTACAAACAAATATCTTCCTAAAAATGACTTAAGTCTGTTATTCTTTATTCAACTAAATTTAACGGAATATCTAACATGTCAACTTCGGTAAAGAGTTGCAGAATGACAGAAAACTGCATCTTTTGTTCAAATAACATGCGCTTCCAAAGAGTACTCACTATTTGTACAACTTTTAATAATCAACTAAATAAAAATTTAATTTAGGACAAGTGACATTGAAATTCTGTGTCACCTCATCAGGACAATTACATTGTTCCATTCAAAAAAATTTGTTGTTCTTATCCCCTAAATCTTAACTTAACCCCCACTCCCTTAGATCGCCGGTTGGCTACAATTTGGAAAAACCGATGTGTCATAGCCATCAATTTTGTGAACGGACAATGACTCCATGGGTGCCTGCTCAAATTAGAGATAAATATAAAAATAATATTATTACTCTTTTCGATTGAAAATGTTTGTCGAATTTTAACTTTTTTAAATACATCAAAATCAATCTTTGACCTATAAATAAATCAAAATTATATTATATACTCCCTTTGTCCGAGAAAACATTACCCATTTTGAATAGTGTTTGGTCAAAAAATTACACCCGTTGACTACAAATTATGAGAAAAAGTATATTCATTATAATATAAATTTAATATAATTGGATTCATCTTAAGATCTAGTTTTGATATATCAAATTTTTATAGTATTTCTTATTTAGATTATATTTAATTTATGATCAAGCATTTAACTATTTGAACAAAAAATACATTTAAATGAGTAATGTTCTATGAGACAAAGAGAGTTTTAAATTATACACAATAATACTACCTTCATTCCAATTCAATCTTTGACCTATAATTAAATAAAATATATATTATATTTTAATTAAATAAAATAATATTTTAGAAATATTTTCTATAATAAATCTAATAAAACTCTTTTTGTATTAAAATCTAATATCATTTTTAATGAGAAGACTCAGAAGAGTAATAATAAAAATATTTTAGCTTTTGTTTGACGCGTCTATAATTTTAAAGAACCCTCCAAAAACAAATGGATGCCGCTAATTGTAAAAACAAAATGACTATTTAATTCATAGTACAAGAACAGATGAAAAGTTTTAACTCATATTTGTTGGGATCTTCAAAAAGAAGAGACCCTCAAAAAATAATCGTATGCCACTAATTGCGACAAGCACACGGTATTCTTTAGTAAAAGGCGAAAGAATAGTTCGCTCTGTGCTTATCGCGTGGCTGCGTGAGTTTACCATTTAACAGACTTTGATTTATATAGATGCTCACAGAGGCAAGTTGTTTCCCAAAATTCCGATGTGGGAAAATTAGATGGTATGGATTGGTATTATGCTGTCAATCCAAGCTTTGCTCTTTCCCTCGTGCTGTGATTTACTTACACTTTGTACATTTTGCTTTCTCATTCTCTTTTCCTTCCACTTTTCCTTTCTAACCAAATTAGAAAACTTGTTTTCCACTTCATTTTCTTTTCTTTTCTCTTTTGAATTCCTTGAACCAAACATAGTGTTAATTATTGATGACAAGAATAGTTCGCTATGAATTTTTGAATGGCCAAAGTGCTCTAACACTATGTTTGGCTCAAGGATTTTGGAAGTAAAAGAAAAGAAAATGGTTTCTCTCATTTTCCTCACCAAAATGGAAGGAATTTGGTTTCCCTCCACTTGGTACATTTTGCCTCCTCATTTTCTTTTCCTTTCTTTTCTCCTCTAACCAAACAAGAAAAATAGTTTTCCATTTCATTTTATTTTCTTTTCCCTTTCAAATTCCTTGAACCAAACATAGTGTAAATATAAACGCCGAGAGCGAAGAGTACTTTTCACGAGTTCGGTGTAGGACTCGGAGTTCCCTATAGTGGCCGCCTGCCATGACTAATGAGAGGCGTGAAAAATCACGTACACGGGACCATGACAAGTACTCTCTTCCAACACTACTTTTGTGGTTGATTTATTCAAAACAAATTTCATAATGATGAACCCTCAACAAATCATACAAGCACTCTCTTCGTCTCTCAAAACCTTTTTTGTTTGAATTTTAACAAATTTAAGAGAATGTATTTTGATGTTGACTTTTCAAAATAACCTTTGGATGTGATTGGTAGATTAATGGTGAAATAAAAGTTATGTGGTAGGTAGGTTAAGAATTAGTAAGTTAAAAGTGAATTTTTAATATATATTAGAAAGATCTTTTGAGACGGATGCAAAAAAGAAGAAAGGTTTTGTGAGAAGGATGAAGTATTTTATGAACTTGTTCTCTGCGTTTAATCTCAGCTGGACTTATAGAGGGAATACATTCTTCTTGCACGCGATCGATCGTTATTATTAAGATTTTCTTCTACGAAGAACACTCCAAACGCTTTTGAGCTGGGGATCTGTTAGAAAAAGTAAGGTCCGCATATACCCACCCTCCTCCCCTAGGCCCTACTTTGTGTGAGATTTTGCCGGGTTTGTTGACAAAAGCGTTCAAAAGGATCATGTTTCCAAGTTTTTTTCCTTGTGCGTGAAAGAGTTTGGAAATCAAGAACATATATCTGCTCTTATTGAATCTTGTTTGAAATCTTTTTGTTTATTTTTTCTTTGCAGAAACTCAGCCCGATGCATCGTGACAACACAAGCACTACACATTTAGCCCCAAGAAATATCTACCTTAAACTCTCCATGAGGCTTTAAGTGTCAGACAAATGTAGTACTCCCTCCGTCCCGAAATAGATTACAATATTCCCTCACATTTTTGTCCCAAAAAGGATTACAAAGTCAATAACTTTATAGTGATTTGACTCTTTTACCCTCCCCTTTTCTTTTCTGCCAGCCATTATTCACACTATTTGGGGGGATTTGGGGGGTAATTTGGGGAAAAAAAATTTGATTTGACTCTTCCTTAATTTCAACTAAAAGAGAATATTGTAATCTAAAGTGGGACGGAGGGAGTATATACTATGATCTGTCTGGAACTAAAAGAAAATATTTAAAAATTTGACCCTTTCTATAGTTATTGAGATTTTAATTTTGGCACTCAAGAGGGTACACTATTATATGGGATCACATTTATCTTTGTACAAATCATAAAATTGACTTAAATATGTTTTTCTTTATTCAACTAAATTTAAGAGAATATTTAACATGTCAACTTGTGTAAAGAGTTGCAGAAGACATCAATGAGAGAAAATTGCATCTTTTGTTCAAATAACATGCGCTTCCAAGTAGTACTCACTATTTGGACAACTTTTGATAATATAAATTTAATTCAAAACGACTCAAGTGACATTGAAATCCGGTGTCACCTGATGACACTACACCCTTACGTTGTTCTGTTCAAAAAATTTATTGTTCTTATCACCTAAATCTTAACTTAACCCCTCATCCCTTGGATCACTGATTGACTACAATTTGAAAAAATTGATGTGTCAAAACCATCAATTTTGTGAACAGACCGTGCCTCCGTAAGTGCCCATTGTCATTGGACGACAACGAACTCTAGTGTCACTAGAAATTCCCCGCTCAGACTAGATATTAAAATAAAAATAATATTACAAGTCTTTTCATTTGAAAATGTTTGTCCAACTTTAAATTTTTTGAATCAATCTTTAACCTAAAATTAAATCAAGATTATATGATATATTTACTATATAGATTAATATTTTGAAATGAATAGTAATTAATAAAAATAATTTAACTGTTGATTGACGGGTCTTTCATTCAAAAGAATCCTACAAAAATAAGTGTATGCCACTAATTGCAACAAGCACTCAGTATTCTTTAGTAAAAGGCGAAAGAAAAGTTCGCTTTGTGTTTGTTGCGTGACTGCATGATAATAATCGTGGCCGAAGTGCTTTAAATACAAAGGCCAACAGCGAAGAGTATTTCTCACGAGTTCGGTGTGGGATTCAAAGTTCCCTATAGTGGCCGCCGACCATGAGAGGCGTGAAAAATCATATACACGGGAGCATGTCAAGTACTCTCTTCCAACACTATTTTTTGTGGTTGATTTATTCAAAACAAATTTGATAATGATGAACCAAGAAATCATACAATTACTTCATTCGTCTCATAAAAATTTTCTGGTTTTGACTTTTAAAAAATTTAAGAGGATGATATTTTAGTGTCGAGTTTCCAAAATTACATTTGGATGTAATGGGTAAAAAGTAGGATATGATTGGTAGATTAATAATAAAATAGTGTGATGTGACAGGTAGATTAAGAATTAGTAGGGTTAAAAGTGACTTTTTTAATAGATATGAGAAATTGTTTTTGAGATGAATGAAAAAAGAAAGAAGAAAAGTTTTGGGAGAAGGATGTAGTATTTTATGAGCTTGTTCTTTGTGTTTAATCTCATCTGATCTTATATGATTTGATCAGTTCTGACTATAATTATATTTAATTACTTAAAACTTGATGAGTTGGTGCCATGATCTACATTTGCAGCACTCACATCCAAAAAAAAGTGACGATTATTTCCAAATTCAAATTTTCAATAAATAAATTAGATATTTTTTAAAACTCTTTTATTTTAATTATTTGAATACTGGCTTGGAATGAAGTACTCTCTCCATTATAAAAAAGGGTTTCTACTTTGACCTAGTGTAAAAACAAGGAAATGTTAAATTCTAGTTAGCTTTCAATTTTGTCCTTGATGTGATGTGTAAAAGTAAAACGTGATGGATAGATTATTAGAGAAAAAGTATGATGTGATAAGTAGGGTATGAAAAAGCGCAAGGATAAAAGTGATTTTTTAATATAAAATGAATGTTTTGTTAGAAGTGAAAAAAATGAAAAAAAAAGTGTGTTTGAGAACAGAGAGAGCATTATTTTTTTGTCATTTCACTTGCTTGGATATGGTGATTTGATTTGCGATTCCGGATTTGGAACATGTATCTTGTTTGGATGCACGAGAATTATTACATCGTTTTATTTACTAGTAATGTCCTATTTTGCACTAAGTGTGTATGTTTCTGCCATGTTTTTTTTTTATTTTAGTACATTGTTGAACCGAAACTTATAATGCTCTCTTTATTCTTCAAAAAAAGAATGAAAGGAAAAATTAGCTTAATCCAAAAAAAGAAAATGAGAAGTTAAGAAAGGGACATATTGAGTATAGGAAATAAACATGACATAACAATATACACTAGCAATTCGGTGTGGCAGAAAAGAAAATAAGAAAAGTATAAACTTTCTAATTTCAATTGAAAACAACAACAAAATTGTGAGCTTTCCACTGAGAGGAAGAGTTATTTTAATTCTTCTTCAATTTTTTCCTTTGTTTCTCCAATTGGTTCACTCACAACCACCATAAAATATAGCCCTATTATTCTCACTTAAGTTGATAACCAAAACTCTTACCCAAATGGGGACTCAATAGGCCAGAAAAAACCAGACACATCCCCATCAAGATACTCTTAAAAAAATTAACAATGCAAAAAAATATTAGAGACCCATGGATGAAGAATAAAGGGACATTATGATATGCAGTTTAGTATACCCTCATCAGTTCAGTTCCATGGTTAACCAAACAACAAAATTTGTGTCCTCAAAACCACTTCAATCCTACCAATCAAACAAGGAAATTTATTACCCCTCGTGTTGTTTTTCACAAAATATAGGAGAAGGGACTTTGGGTGTGTTTTTTTTTTGTGTTTTTTTTTTGAAAAGTGATTTTATTTGGACAACAGAATCTAAAAACATCTCGGAGCTGCTTCTCGACTTTTTGATCTGTTCCGCTGTCTGCAAAAAGTTGAAAATCATCACACTCCCAAACTGCCTTTCTCCAAGGACAAAAGTTGAGAACCGTTTTCGAAATCAATCACAAACACCCTCTCTACTTCTCTTCCAATCGGCAGAGTATCGAATCTGCAAAACACTGTTGCCTGCAAAATAGGATACGAGAAAAAACCTTTGAAATTGCAAGATCATTTCATCCCTCATTGTAACCAAACAAGGAAGAAAGACTTTAAACTTCAACTTCTCTTCCTGTCTGCCCAGAGTCAATAATAATTAAATATTTATGCTCAAGTTTTAATGACAAATGCCCGATGAACGGGACAGAAGAATTCATGAAGAAAAAGACTCAAGACCCAAAACAAACTGAAAGATATATGTAGAGCATCAAAAGACTTACTTCCTCTCGCGGTGCTTTGGATTGGGGCGAGAATATTTCAAATATCCATCCCAAGGAACCTTCTTGATGCCTGCTCTAACAGAAATTATATCCCTCACCCTAAAAAGAAGAATCACATTCTTAAATAATTCAAGGCCATTCACTAAAATTCAACTACTGCTGGGAAATTCAATACAAATTAGAGATCATTTACCTCTCTGCAAACTCAATTGGTGTCTCACCCGGCTTTAAGTTTTGAGGTTCCAAGTACCAAACGTCACAAACAACAGCCCATGATGTCATGAGTTGCAGCAGGTGCGTTGTGAAAGACTGCCTGTGAACAATATTAAAATTTAAAATCAAGCATGAGCTTCCTCATGGTAGAAGATAATAGCATGTAGTGATGTAAGGGAATCCATAACAAGAGGAAGGCATTGGGAAAACAGCATAGAAAGCTTACTTTTTACTATTCCAGAAAGCATCAACAAAAATTTTGTTGTACTTGATTGCAACCGGGCAAACTGTGCATCCGAGCTCAAATGCACCCTATTTACTATCAAAAGATTAGTAAATAGTACACGCTAACCTCCATTCTTTTTTTGGTTGCAACAAAAAAAAATATTTTTATACATAAATATAAAAATACTGTCAGAGGGTATCATGAAAAGTACAAAATCACAGTGTTGGGACTAAAAGAACAAAGTAATTGAGAGATCATAAATGTCAATGAAAAAAAAACAATACTTTTTTAAACATGACACTGTAGTGGTTATTCACACAAGTTCCTTCTGGGAATATAAGGAGAGGGTTATTGTCGGCCCCTTCAACATGTTCCCTTAGCCTGAAAAAATGTGGGGAAAACAATCAACAACAAATCAACAATGTTGTATATCATATTGAAGAAATAAGGTACTCAATGTCAGAATCTTATCACATACTTCTTCGCAACAATTTCACGATCTTTGGCCTCTGAACGATTGAACCAAATACAACCTACACTTTCTAAAATTGTGCTCTGCAATAAACCTTTAAAAAACAGAATGAAGGCACCTTGTTATTCAGTAAATACTACGGGCCACCCACAACAAAAGCATCAAGGATGGCATATTATGCAGAAAGTCTCATCTATATTTTAACTTCTCTTTCATTAATTACTTTGGAGAAATGCAGGCAAAGATTATAACAAGGCTTGTGATGTTATTTGTTTGTGGCTGCAAACCAGTATGGAAAGAGCATCAAGAAACAATGAAGGTTGTGCGTACTTAGGAGTAGTATAAGATGTGCTAGGTTCTTTTGAAACCCACCTTGGGTGTCATGTTATGACTCCAGTCATTTGAGGGCCCTACAGTGTTTCGTTGGAACCACTGAGTTCCTACCCAACACAGAAACCCCCCTGATACCCCCCCAGCCCCCATGGAAACACCAAAATGTTAGGGGGTTGAAGAGCAACATGGGGGTAGAAAGTAGGAACCATTTTGGAGGCCCATTGAGCACCATAATGCCCCCGTGTCTTAATATGATACCCAAAACCGGTGTCAAAAGAACCATGGGGCCTGACTAATTTGGAATTAAACTCTATGCTTTGGCAGATTATCATAGCTAATTTTATTGGTGATTTTAGTTGTATAAATTTAGGACTTATTTATTTAGTAGTGTACTACTAGTATTGTATTGTACTTCATATGCTATCATTATACTACCTAGTCCCTGCGAGGGAGTTTGGCTGAGGAATAATTCATGAAAGAAATTCAATGAGTTCAGTGAGTTATGGGGTCTCACTCAAAAAAAAACCCAAATCTAGAGTTTGGATCTCCAGTTCTCCACAAAACTGTAGCCACACTACACATTTGAACACCTTTGTTCCATCTTTGCAATTGAACTTGTAAGTTTTTCCGGATTATATCATAATGTTGCCAATATTCTTCCTTATCTTTTAACTAGACCAAAAGGTCTTTTAGTTTGAAGCAAAAAAAAAAAAGGCATCTTAAATTGCCATATACAGCATAGAATAAGAGCCAGAAATCAGTCACATGACATGAGAAACACTGCAAAATGCGAATATTAAGAAAGGAAGTTCTATATCTACATTTAAATACTATGGAGTATAAAGTATGAATTATTTAAATGTTTACTTGTTCCATAATAATAATATCAAGATTCTAGCCCAAACTCATCTAAAGCTAGGTTGGCAATCTGAAAACACCAATCCCATCCCCTACACCATATATTTCTTTGGATAACAAACCACAGTAAATGCAATTGGCAAATGAAGAAAGTAAAGTCTTACCAACCCATCCAGGATGCTTCTGCATGATGACTGCAAAGGCAGTCATCTGTTCTAAAACGATGAAATCAATCATAGATGTGTGATTTGCCACAAAAACCTGTTTCAAAACATTTAAAAACCTAAGATACATGTTTTGTATTTGTATAGTACTATAATAGAAAGTTAGATGAGATCATCAGACGGAGATCAAAACTCAAACTTAACCTGTTTAGGACGGATACTAGGCCGTGGACCATGGTATTTGACCACACCAGTCCATGATGCAACAAAGAAGCTGCATATCAACTCTACCAGAACTCGCTGAAAAGCAAATAAAAGACCAGTAGTTTAAAATTAGAATGGTGAAACATTAGAAGAAACTCAATACAACTATACAAAAAGTCATAGAGGTGAGATAAAGACCAATGATATAACATAAGGACTAGCAAACAACAAAAATCCAGTTGAATCCCATGAACGGGGCCTGGGAAGGGTGGGTGTTTGGAGTACATACCTCTACCTAAAAAAGATAGAGAGGATGTTTTCAAAAGACCCCGGCTCACCATTGTCTGAGAAGCATTTCCAAGAAATGTTATATCTAAGAAGCATTTAATTTGCAATTGTCATTTTTACATTATTTTTGCTTTGGGAAAATAATGACTAGATCAAAGTGGAACAATAAACTTCCTCTATGTCTCCCTTTCTATAAAGATTTGCAAAGTAAATGCATTGAGGGTCTAACGGAAACAATGACTCAATTTTTTACAGGGGTAAGGTTGCATATATCTTGGCTCCCCCCTCCTCCCAAGATCCCAAAAAATTTGGGATTGTACTGGGTTTGTTGTTGCTGTTTAGTGAACGAAGTCAATGTTTTTAGAAAGTTTAATAAACTTTAATACAATTAGATTAAATTTGGAGTTGGACCGAATCACATATGTGAGTCTAAATAAAATGTAGAGCATTTCACATTAAACCAAACTAAACAAAAACAGGACATTAAGAAAAAGCTGAGCAAAAAGTAAGCTGTAGCATCCATGCATGCATACAGCATACCTCCAATTTTTTCCTTAGTCTATCATGGCCCTTGAGGAGGAAATGCACCGGAATATAGCACGACAAGAATATTATCCATCCTACTGTCAAAACAATAGCCCTGTATTACAACTACGACATGTAAGATTGCAACACTCATCACAACAATGAAAAAAAATATTTTGGCACTTTGGCACTCAAGTTTCTGACTTGTGCTAAAAAATACGGAGTGATATTTATCAGTTAACGGTTCACTACTAATTAATGCATTTGCTCCAGAAATGTCTCACTGGGGAAAGATAGATTAATATGCAATTTAAGAATGGGAGAGTGCTAGGAATAGACATAAGATCATTTGATTAAGGAATTGATGAGTTGAGTGCATATCTTCTGTTACTTCATTCATCCCATAAAAAAGAACCATGTTTTACGACAGTATAATTTACTCTCATTTCAGTAGGGTACAACCATTAGAAATCATCAAAATGACTATATTTTTTAAATTTAGTTAATGGTTTACTAAATTTAACACACTAAATTAATTTAGAACACTTTTTATGTTAAAAAAAATTACATAAAATCAAAAATTTGCCCTTTCATTCAAAGTGAATATTTCTTTGGGAAAAAAATAAATTTAGCAAGTTGACTCATTGTATGGGACACAATTGCATTAGTAGAAAACGATTAGCATGTCATGGAAGAGGTAAAACAAAATGCAAACCTCAATGGGAAAAGAAGTCCATATCTGACTACAACTCCCAAACACCACAAAGGAAACAAATAAATATTCCAGTTCCAAGGTTCAGGAGGGTTGGACTTGAAGCATCTGGTGAATGAATCCTATCCAAGAAAAAGGCACCGCAAAAAATATTGATAAGATGAAAACTTCACCAGCCCAGCAACAAAAAGGTTCACATTTTGTTTTGAAAAAAAATTCTGCTTTTGTTTTGAGAAAAAACATTCTTGGGTTCACACAATTTCTCCTTCATCTACATAAAAATCAAGCACTCACATTCGTCTTTATTAAAATAATGGTTTGTACATGAATTGTGGAAACTTAATTTGGGATGGAGGAAGTATAAAATGGAGGTACAAAAATCACGAAATCATATAAGGAGAAGTCAAAGCAAAACAAAAACTAGGAGATGAGAAGAGAGTAGAGAAGGAAAATCACATCAACAATGGCACCTGCAGCCTCAGTGAGAGTGGGCGAAATATCCAGCAAATCGCGTCTGAAAGGAAATTCATCATGAAGAATGAAGGTTATAAGGGAAAAATGAAAAATGAGTATGGAGACAGATAGAAGGGGGGCGGAGAAATACAGGCAAAGCTTGCCGAGAGGCTCATGGATGGATCCAGTGGGGAGATAGTCTTCCAGGTTGGGTCGATCCAGCTCCAATTCCGACCTTGATGTTGCCAGGACCCCACTCATCTTTTGATGATGACACTAAGCTATATACTCTCTTCTTTGCATGCAAGTCTTAGAGAGCAATTAAAAATGCCATTAAACCTTTTTTGTCATAAAAGTCACTCATTTTTTTTGTTTCTTTACTACCATTGAACTCTTTAATGGTGTTAAAAAATGCCACTTTCGTTTTTTTTCTCATCACAGCAGTTAAAACCTTTGTTCCTGTCATCTTTTTAATTAAATATTTCTTTCTCATGTTTTCCTCCTCTTTCTCAACAAATTCGTTAATTCCTAGTTATTCACTCACAAAAGGCCACCTTTATAAAAAAAAATTAATTTTTATAAACATAGCTTTGAAATATATGATGTTTTTTCCTTCAAAAAAATACATGATGGCTTTTCATTTGTCATTAAATTTAATAAATAAAGCAATTTTATTAATAAAAATTTGTAATTGTAGATGGTGATTGAGTACCCCCAAAGCAGTTAAAACTAAAAAAGTACTCCGTAACTAGCAAAAACCCAAACACATAAAAAATTTAAGATAGTACATGAAAACATCACACCATCAATATATGTTACAGAACATGCTTAACACAATATGTTTATTGAAATCATTACTACATAATGAAACAATTACTAAAACACAAGTTTATGAACACAAGGTTGCTGAAGTGTCCATTAATTGTTACTGGGTATTAAAAATTTAAAACATACGGGTTTTTTTAACTTCAATCATAATTGCAAATTGGAATGGAAATCCTGTTTTTCAACCTGAAATCACGAATATTTCAAACTCAGATCCCATATTTTAACTTTCAATATCTTTTAAAAAATGAAATTCCTAATTCAATAGTGAAATGGATTTATAACCCTTAAAAATCAGAGGATACCTGATGTTTCTATCGAGCGCTGAAGAAAAAAAGATAGATGAGAAGAGGAGGAAGTGAGGAATGTGGATAGAAGCTGTAGAGGTTTAGAAATGTTTAATGACAACTTTTTTACGTGCTCTATCATATCTATTGCTTCACAAAAGAAAATATATTGAACAAAATCTGTTGCTTCACAAAAGAAAATATTGAACCGTTAGATAAGTTTGATAAAAGAAAAAACCATACCCAAACGTGAGACAACCTTTCACCAAACCAAGATCTTTTCACAGAATTACCCAAAATTTGAACACAAAACGAGAGAGAACACATATTCAGCTTCTAAGCTTGAAAGAGCATATAGACTTCAGAAATAATTCCGTTTTTTCTTAGACTTACAAATTCCTTTGGAGCTTCACAGAATCAAATATGAAAAAAGCTAGAAACATCAGTGATAAGGATGGAGAACGAGGGTTTTCTCACTCAACAACAATTGAAACAAATTAAGAACTAAAATCAGAGAGAATGAATTACAACAAGTGTTTTCATAGAATCAAAATCGAAGCATCACATATGAAGTAAAAGCAGAGAGAGCAGCAAAATCTTAAAATCGAAGCATCACAAAACTTGAACTAGAACCAGAGAGATCAGCGAAATCTTAAAATCCAGATCGAGGGTTTCACAAATTCCTTTGAAGAAAATCAAATCGGAGGAGAGGTGTGGGAAACTAACCTAGTCGTCGTCTACCAGAGCAGCTAAATCGTCAGGAGAGATTGGATTGGAAGTCGTCGATGATGAGAAATGGGACGGAGGGAGATTGGATTAGTGAATTAAATCTGAACCATTATTTTAATTTATAGACAAATATTTTATAGACAAATCCGGCGATTTCTGGCCGATCGGCCATTTTCTAAACGTATCTCTCTCTTACTTCATATCTATATTTATTTACTTTTAATATATCAAAAAAGTTATAATAATCCATTAAAATAAAGAAATTAAAGGAAGTAAAAAAATTAGGAAAATTATGGTAACATACTGTATTTTTTTGAAAGTACAAATATTTTATAGACAAATAAAACAATGTAAAGGAAATATTAAATATTTTTAAGTAATTACTCGTCAAAAATTATGATAACGGTAAATACAAATAACGCATACTACCTCCGTCCCAGAGTATTTGTCCACTTTCATTTTTGCACATCATCCAATACACTTCTTTAATCCATTTTATCTTGTAATTTGTATATTAAAAAATTATAGAAATTATATATTAATAATCTATATGTTAAGACAAATCAAACAAGATCACACATGACTATATTTAGACTTACACATTGAGAGAATTTGATGAGTCAAAGTGCTTAGATAAACAGTTCCAAAAGTCAAAAGTGGACGAATATAGCGGGACGGAGGGAGTAATAACTATAAAAAAGGTATATAAACTCCATATATATATATATAACTCTCGGTGAGATTCTATGACATTCGAACCCTATGTCATGGGATGACTCGGGGGCGTTCCGATACTCCGTTTGTAAAATTGACGGTTCCTACCCCTCTAACCCCCCGTAACCCCCCACCCTGGCCCGACCCGAACACATCCCCTACCCCTTCAATTGCATCGCACAAGTTTATTTTGACTTTGGAGTCAAAATTTGAGTCCAAAATCAAAATCAACTTGTGGGGTGCAATTGAAGGGGGTAGGTGATGTGTTCGTGGCGGGGGTTTACCGGGAGAATTAGGCGGGGTAGAAATCGTTAATTTTACGAATGGGACATCGTATTGCCTCTGGGTCATCTCATGACATTGCCAGGCAATGTCATAGGAACCTCCCCCTATAACTCTATATCACTCCCTGAAAAAAGAAAATGTAAATTTAACTGGGTTTCGGACTTATTGTTGGTAGACCAAAAACTAATTAAAAAGTGCTCGTCAAAGATTGAAACAATGGAAAATTAGGTGTCTTCCTTTAAAAAAGGATGAGCCCCATCCCCGAGGGTCTCTTCAGATCCGGCCGAACGATCACTGTGAGGAAGTAAATTGAATTTTAATTGCAGATTGGTGGCAAAGAGTTGAACATGCAGCTGGTACTTCAGAGGCCAGCGCAGTTGCCAGTAATCGAAATCAGATCTTACCATCTTGACATCCCTTGTCTTGCCAACTGTGCAACGCCCACCGGTAGATTTCTTGCTTTGGGAGATAGCAATTGATGGTTGGCTTTGATTATCCTATATATATATGTAAAAGAGGGTTTCAAAGTTGTGGTGACGACACGTGTCATGCCACACGTGCATACTAATGACACGTGTCCCGCCACGCGTATATCACATGACACATGTACGTCCATCCATGCATGTGAGTTAATTTTGTATTAAATAATTCGTATTTTTATTTTTTATAAACTCTTCACTTTCCAACAATAAAAAACTATTATTTTTATTAACTTTTTATAAACTCTTCACTTTCTGATTATGTTAAAACCAATTTATTGTTTTGACGTATCTTAAAAATATATGCACGATTATTTTATAATTTTAGAAAACTTATGTATATAATTTAATGATTAAAAAGATGTTGCTTATAATTTTTAAAATTATCCATCATATCAAAAAAAAAAAAAA